CTAACTGCCCTCATCCCCAGATTCCTCAGAGCTTCAATCTTAAGGCTGAGATGGCTCCTCTGCTTCCTGCATGGCCTGACCTCCCCTGTCCTCTGCTCAGGAAGAGGCTGGGAGCTCCCAAGAGGAAGAACTTGAGAAGCCCCTAGCCCCACTCTGGAAAACCCAGGCCTGGAATAGCCCTCCTCAGGCCCCAGCCCCCTTCTATGCAGTCCATTTCCTTCTTGCTGGCCCTCTTCTTTGCCCAGTCCTACCCCAGCCCTAGTGCTGATCACCCTCCCCTCCAGGCCCTGACTCTTCTACCCATGTTGCCATGCTGTCCTAGGAGGACCCACCCCCTTCCCTCACTCTCTCCCGGAATCTCTAGGGCCCTCTTGACTCCTCACCCAAGTGCCCTCTGCTCCCTGTCACCCTCTCTCCATCCTACTTCCCGAGCCCAGAAAACCTTGCCCTCAAACATTGAAGTGCCTCGGGCCCTTCTCTCTCTTCTTGCACATGCTCCCTGAGCCATCATATCAGTTTCTTGCCTTCAGCTACCACCATGGTTAGTGTCCTCTCTGGTTAAAATCGTCCAACTGTGCTTCAGAGTCCTGATGACTCTCCTGTTGCACTGAACGCATTCCTCAGCTTCAGACTCACTTGTCCCAGTTCCTACAAGACACCTCCACTTGGCAATCCTAGAGACTCTTCCAACCCAACAGACCTTCAAGCTGAACTGAATATTTCCCACCCTCTCCCGCCAAGTCTCCACCTATCTCCTGTCAAGCTCATCAACACAGCTGCCCAAATCTGAACCTATGATCTATCCATGCCTGCACCCTCCCCCTCAAATCTAATTAACCCTAACTGCTTTCTTTTTCCTACCTCCTAGTACCCCTCTAATCCCTCTCTTTCCTCTCTCCTTGCTGCTACTACCCACAGTCTGGCTACCACCATCTTTTTTGGAGTCTTGTTCTTCTCCCTTTCCAAACCACACTACGTAGCAGCCAGAGAGATCTTTATAAAACCCAAGCCTGACGTTCCAGTGGGTTTCCATTGCCCGAAGGATGAAGCGGGGACTCTTGAACATAGCACACTAGTTCTGCGTACTTGGCTCTGACTGATGTCTCAGTGTCTCTCACTACTCCCCCACTGCCTCCCACCTTCCTCCCCTGCTCTGTCTCAGGGTGCTCTGAATGCCTGTCAAATGCGGGTTGAACCAGAAGCTCTGCAAGGGCCTTTTCAGTTGTGACTTTCTGGGGATGTGACTGAGTTCTGCTCTGGGATTGTAACACTCCCTTCCCAGAGACTTAAGGATTGCCGGGTTTAGGAGGTCATCCAGGTGCCACCTGGGGGAGCCCAGAGAGGCTCCGTGCCTCTGAAGCTGATGCACATTCCTTCCACCCTACCAGCTCAAGGGACCAGGCAAGACTGATATTGCATACTCTCCATCTGTTAGAGCCTCCTGTCCTGAGTCCTTGAGCCCCAACTCCTCTGCCACCTCTCCATCAAGGAGAGCTGTGGCTGCAAAGAGTCCTGGGCCTTGGTACTAGGAGGAAAAAAGAAGCACAGTTGGAGGATTATTAACCAGGGAAAGCTGGTTACCTCCTGTAGGAAGTAATATTGAAGCTGCAACCTAATGGAAGACTAGAAATTCGTTTATTCAAGCAAATAATGATTGAGTGCCCAATACGTACCAAGTACTGTTATACAAACTTAGGCTCATGTAAGTGAAGAAAATACTCAAAGATGCCTGTCCTCCACGAAGCTTACATTTTACAGCAAAACATAAATATATGTAAGGAGTTAACCAGGAAGAAGAGATGTGTTCTAGACATGGGGAGTAGCATATGAAGAGGCAAGGTTAGAGAAGGAGCATGTAAACATCCAGGACCTCTAATAAGCCCCTAAGACTGGTGAGGGAGGATGGGGGCTGCTCCCCTGTGCCCTCTAGAAACTTAAAATGAGCTGTTTATTTCTACACTCTCCTCCACTCCCCCGCCACCACCACCACCACCACCACCACCACTGCAACCCCAACTCCACCCCATAAAAGCTTTCTTCATCCAAGGTCATTTCTCATTCCTACTTCCTTCCAGGCACTGTTCCCATCATCTTGCAGAGGTAGGTGGTATTGGGCCAATTAAAGGGACCTTTCAGGCTTCACAGAGAGCCAACTGCCTTCTCTCTGGAAGGTTCCTGCTGACTGCTGGGGAATATGTGCTATCTGAATGTCAGATCCCTCTGTGCTGACAAGCTGAGCTAGGGCCAGCCATGGTAGTGCTGGTACCAAGAGTAACAGTCCTTCAGCATCTGCCCTGCACAGCAACTGAAGCTCTTGCTCATTTAGTAGGCTGGTTGTCTTCCCAAAATATGATTAAACTAACAGATTCCACAAGCTGAAGAGGCCTGACCACACACTCTTGGTAACCAAACCAGAACAAGAGCCTAGGCTTCCAGACTTCCAGGCCCCCAGTCTTTTTCTACCACCCCACTTTGCCTCCTACTATTCAGAGGTTAAAAATGCTGCACTGTTGTTTTTATCATAGTAACAGTAACAGCAACAGTAATAATCAATATCAATGCTTGAGTATCGTTTATGTGCCATACTATACTATACTCTAAACTTTAATTTGTATTGTCTCATTTCATCCTCCTGTGGTCGCTGTCTTCAGAAATGGCCCCCAGCTATTCCTCCCCGCCCTGTGCATACCAGCCCTCACTCAAAGACAGAGTTTATTTCCCTTCCCCTTGAATCTGGGAGGGCCCTGTGACTGCTTTAACCAACAAAATGTGATGGAGGTGACATTCTGGGGCTCTTCCTTGGGTGTTCTCTCAGGCCTAGGGGTAGGGGCTGCTCTTCATCTCTGCAGCTCTTGTATTCTTTAGAATTCTTGCTTTTAAAAAAAAAAATTGGGGAATTGGGGGAGGGGAACAGTGTTGGGGAATTAGGGGAGAGGAACAGTGTTGGGGAATTGGGGAAGGGGACCAGCCAAGTTGTTCTTCAATCTTAGTTGTGGAGGGCGCCAGTAGCCATCCGGCTGCCTGTCGGCAGTTCGTGGCCTCTACGCTCAAGGTGCTGTGTTACAATCCTAGTTGCAGATGGGCGTAGCCACCATCCCATGCAGGAGTCGAACCCAGCAGCCTTGTTGTTAAGAGCGCACGCTCTAACCACTGAGCCATCCAGGTGGCAGCTCACCTCAAGGTGCGGAGTTCAGTCTTAGTTGCGGGCAGGCGTAGCCCACCGTCAAACAGGCAGTCTTGTTATTAGGAACATGTGCTGTCACCAGCTGAGCCATCTGTTGGCAGCTCAGCGGCAGCTCAGCTCAGGTGCAGCTTCACTGGCCCATGTGAGAACCAAACCGGCGGCCCTGTTGCTCAGAGCTTGCAGTCTTAAACTAACTCTTAACCAACAGAGCCACTCTGCCAACCCCCAGAGTTCTTGCTTTTTACTAGTCAACCTCTCATTATTCCAGTTCCCGTTATAGTTAATAATTCTTTATATTAAACTTTATATGTTCAAATTACTGTCTCCTGAATAGACCTTGACTGGTACACGCTGGCCCATAGCCCGAGCTGAACTCCCAGATTTACAGATTTACTCCCGCAGTGAGTAAATGGCTGAGCCAGCATTCAAACATAGGTTTGTTTAACAAGACCCTTTTAAATACATAATCTCACCTAGGGAACCAAAAGGGACCTTAGTTGAACCAAAAGGGTCCAACCTCCCTCATCCTATAGCCAAGGAAATTGACGTTCAGAAGGTGGAAACAATTTGCCCCAAGTCACATATTTGGGAAATGGCAGAGTTAGGACTGTGAATTAGAAACCCAGTTCTCCTGACTCTTACCCAATGCTCTTCCTCTCCCCCACAGTTTGTCTCACATACCTTCCTTCCATTCTCAGCACCACATGTTTCCTTGTGCACTTTCCCTTTCCAGGGATACCCCTGGAGTGGGGTGGGGGAGTGGGGCAAAAGCTCCCTGATTGAGAACCCGTAGGGCACCTTTGGGCATGTCTAGAAACATCTTTGGTTGTCACAACTAGGGCTGGGGGAGTTACTGGGTAGAGGCCAGCATTTAGTGGGTAGAGACCAGTGATACTGCTAAACATCCTACAGTGCACACAGCAGCCCACCACAAAGAATTCTCCAGCCCAAAATGTCAATAGCATTGGAGTTGAAAAAGTTTGGTGTAGAAAAAGCATGAACACACAAGATTCCCTGCCTCCATGAGTCTTCTCCTATTTTCCCAAGGTTTGGGTTGCTCAAGCCAGATGGGCAGCATCTACTGCAATCATTTTCACCTGCTGAAAAATAAATAAGTGGATGGAGTGGTCCTGAGAAAATCTCTGGCAGGGAGCACCTCGCACAGGAGAGCCCTGGAATTTTCAAGACTCTGAGGCATCAGATCTGATTAGCTACAATTAGTTTATTGGAAACACAGAGTGAAACAAAGGCAAACAAACTTGCTGGCATGAGACATTGGCTTTTTCCAAGCTTCTGCAGGCAGCCCTGGGAGGAAGCCCCTCCCACAAGTCATGTGTATCACAGAGTTGCAGGAAAACCACCATCAGTGTTCCCCGTCTCCGTTCCACAGGAACAAGCACACTGGCAGCTCTCAGGAAGTGCGGACAGGGAGATTCTGGGGCCTGCCCTATTCCTCCAAGCTTGGGTGAAGAGGTCAAGCAGGACCAATGAATCCAGCAAAACACAGAAGGAAGAAAGGACAAATCCTCAGGACAACAACTCAACTACTAGGAAAGGCTACAGAAAGAGACCAAGGTGCTTCCCCAGCCTCCCCAGGGTTCAGGGCGCCTGGGGGAATGGCACACATTGGGAGCAGGTAGGGAGGACCAGCTGAGTGTACACATCTGGCGACTGGTTCTTGGGAGACCAGCGGCTGGCGGTTTGTGAGGCAGCAGCGGGAGGTGCATTCCGGTTTTGGCGAGGTCCTGGCTGGGCTGAGGGTGCAGTCTCCTAGCACCCCTTACATCCCCGGATGCCAGAGCAGGGGCCGCAGGCATTAGCAGGGGCCGCAGGTATTAGCAGTGCCCACCACCATGTTGCCGCAGCAGGGGGCGCTGCAGACGCTGGTGGTGACAGCAGGAGCAGTACCGCTGGAGCAGAGATTGCCACAGACGACGCCACCGCGGGAGCTGCTGACGCCTGAATGAGGGGAGAACAGGCCCAGACACGCATCAGGCACTGCCACAGACAGGTGGCTTTGGGGTAAGCAAAAACGTCCCCTCCCCAAAGGCACTGGGACCACCCCAGCGGAAGAATGGTAAGGGTTCGAGCTACTTACAGACATTCACGGAGCCAACGCCCTCACACAGCCTGTTGGAACAGGAAAAGAGATTGGTCAGTGCCTTGGAAAATCTGCTCGAGCCCACCAGGCCTAGGTGAAAGGTGAGACCTGTGGCCCTCCTTGTAGGCAATAAATGGGCTAATCCAGAAGCCAGGGGAGCCGTTCACCAGCATACGGGTTCTAGAGACAGAATGTCTGGTGTGGTGATCCTCCACCCACTGTCAGCTGAGCAACCTGAGATTTACCCTCCCTCAGCCTGCTTCCTCATGGGGACAATCTACTCCTAGGTCTGTTGCGAGGATAAAATCCAATGACACATGTAAGTGCTTAGTGCTGTCACACAGTGAGCACTTCAAAAACGTTAGCAGCTATTTTTGTTGGTGCATGAATGAATGGAATCTTAGAATCTATTTGAAACAGACTCAGAGACCATCCACACCAATTCCCTCATTTTCCAGATGGAGAAACTGAGGCCCAGAGAGAGGAAATAACCAGTGATAGAGGCAGGGCTATAACTCGGCCCCCTCCCTCCTGCCAGCCCATGTTCCCTTCCCACACACCACTATCTCCTTAAGGGACACACACAGGCATCCCTGTGAGAGCACAGAGGCAAAGGATTGTCAAAATCAGCTTCAGATGTGGAGAATCCACAGCACACCCTCTAATCACCCACACCCAGGTTTCCAAGGGAACCCACACCAAAGCTTTTGATTTCACTCCAAGAGCCGTTCTGTGGCAGTTTCTAGTCCCATCTCCACGTGTCTTTCCAACTTCCAAACTTAGTCTTGAAAAACTCTTCTTCCCAAAATTCTTTACTAAGGAAACTCCTCAGGCCCAGCGAGCCCCAGCGCCTCTGGGCTTTTCAATTACATGAGTTTGTTACGAGCTCTCCGTGTGATCACTTTGATTCCAGCTACCAAACCCGTGTCCTCATTTCCCCAATACACAGGACACTCCGTGGATGCTCCGTCTGCATCCTCACCGTCCATTCTCCTCTGCCCAGGGCCAGGGGGCTGGCTGTACCCAAGAAGAGGAAGGCTCAGGGTGTGAGCACCTGACCAACCTGGGGTAAAAACCCAGGGATAACATTTTGGAAGTACTGATCTCATAGGAGCTGCTCAGCTGCTCCTCCAGCCATAGGAACGCTGAATGACCAGTGAGTCTCCTCTCACCCCCAAAGCAAGCAAGAAGCAAAAATGCCCAGAGCAGAACACGACTGCCCCAAGGGACAAGTCTCTGTTGCCTGTCTACCCTCAGTCCTACCTGCTGCAGTGGAAGACCACTTGGGGTACTCACTGTAGTTAGAATATAAAACTGTGAGTTGATAAAAATCCCCTATTGAATCTGTCATTATGGGCTAAATCTGAATTCCCAGGGCTGGGGCAGGACCACGATTGAGGAGAGAGCTAGAATCCTGAGGGGTTTGTATAACAAGAGCTCAGGAGGGCTGAAGCACTAGCAAGAGAAGGTGGCCCTAAGCCTAGGTTGGACTTCTCAGGAAGAGTGATTACTACAGCCTGACTCCTGGTTCTGTGGAACAGATGTGCAAAAGACATCAATCCCAGATCAACACTAGGTAAGCATAGGAGACTTAAATGGGGCTAGAAACATACCGAAAAGACTCAAATTACCTGTCCACTGCAGGTTAGGGAGATTTGGAAACAAGAGAGCAGTGATGCCACCAGTGTGAGGAATAGGGCACGCTGAGAACCCAGGCAGGACTGGGAGAAAAAATTGGCTGTGATATCTACCTCTGCTCCTCGCCCTCCAGCAGGCGCCTGTAGGTGGCGATCTCAATGTCCAGGCCCAGCTTGGAGTTCATCACCTGCTGGTACTCCTTCAGCAGGCAGGCCATGTCCTGCTTGGACTTCTGCAGGGCGGCCTCTAGCTCGGCCAGCTTGCAGCGGGCATCGCTGACGGCCGTCTCACCCTGCTGCTCAGCCTGAGTCACTGCGGTCTCCAGCTTGGTGTTCTGGGGACCCAGAAGAGAACAAGGTAGGTTATGATCTCCGGGTCTCTCTGCATTTCCTGAGTGTGCCTGTGTCTTCTACCCAGCTGGAACACCCCAGGGACAGGCCTCTCGCCTTCATTGCTTGGGTGTCATTGAGTGATCACAACCCGCAACTCTAGTCATGCAAATGGGCTGGAGGACGAATGGTGAGATCCAGACCAGCACACATGGCTGGGGGACGCTGGCTAGGCCCCCAGCCTGTCTGGTGGGCCAGGGGACAGATGACCCGTACCTGGCACTTGGCATTCTCGACCTCGGCCGTCAGCCTCTGGATCATGCGGTTCAGCTCGTTGATCTCCTCCTTGGTGCGGCGCAGGGTCTCCCCATGACGGATCACCGTGGCCTTCATCTCCTCACACTGTGGGGAGACACAGGTACTCCTGAGGCTCAGGATGGGACACCCCACGGATTGAGGACACCACGGATGGTAGTGCAGGTGGTACAGTGCTCAGCCTGTGCAAACATCCATGGCAGCCCTGCCCGGCCACCTCTACCTGAGAGCTGTCTGCCCTTCTATTTCCATCCCTGAAATCAGAATCCCAGACAAAAGAAGCCTTTCCTAATATATAGCTCGCATGCCTCTCACAGCCATGACTAGGAGGCAGGTGTCCTGTGCCACTCACCTTGCTGCGGTACCAGGACTCAGCCTCGGCGCGGCTGCGGCTGGCGATGTCGTCATACTGTGCCTTGATCTCGGCCACGACACAGTCCATGTTGAGGTCCCGGCTGTTGTCCATCTTGACGACGACCGAGGTGTCTGAGATGTGGGACTGGAGGACGCGGATCTCCTGCAGGTGATGGGAGGTGAGGGGGTGGGAGGATCTTATTTATGCCACAGCCTCACCCACCATAGCGTGTACCCAGTCTTCTCAGCCTTACCCTGGTCTCCAGCCCCAACACCCTCTGACAGCCTCATGGACTGCAGCTGCCTGCCCAAATCCCTGTCCACCTCCAGTCCCAGGCCAAAGCCTTCTCCTCCAGACTTGCTGCCACTTCTTTGCCTGGGCCACGACTCCTCACCTCCTCATACAGTCGCCGCAGGAAGTCAATCTCCTGGGTCAGGGCCTCCGCATTGGCCTCCAGGTCTGACTTGCGGAGGTAGGCGCAGTCCACGTCCTGAAAGGTGGGAGTCTTTGAGCTAAGAGTACCCAGGTAATTGTCCACCAAACACTTCTGTCTTCTCACCCCTTCATGGCAACCAGGGGCAAAGGACTTGCAGTGTCCCTATCCCATCCCATCTCCATACCTCTGTCCTTCCAGGGACGGAACTCACCAACTTTTCCCCTTCTGAGAACAAACCCCTTTGTGTCCTGGACAAGGGCCACCAGCCTCTCCCCCGCCCACCTGAGACAGTTTACCCTCCCATTTTTCCTTTCTACCCTCCCCTGTTCCAGGAAGCCTGCCCAGGCTGACCCCCTGTTTGGACACCTTGACCCCTGTCTGTCCCCTAGCACTCCTTCAAGACTTCACCTATCAGTCCCGGTTCTGCTCCGTCCTCCCCCATATCCTGGGTCTCTGTCCCTCCTTTTGGTCAGAAGTCCCACAGTGCTAGACAGGACACTGTCACTCTACAGAAACTAAAGCTTCCAGGCTTCCAGGCGACCCAAGTCACAGACCCCAACCTCTCCAACAGAGCAGGACATCCAGAGGTGGACCCAGCCACCCCGCTGCCCCAGGGCACGGTGCCAGTGGATATTCCAAGGCCATTGCCCTTTGTCAAAGCCCTAGATGTGCCTTCCATGACCCGATCTCTGGGAATTCCCTATCCTGATTTGGCAAGGTCACTGTACCCCACACAGAGGTTGAGACCCTCTGGGTCTCCCCAAGAAGAGTCTGTCATTCTAGATCCCTGTTGTGTGTGCTCCCCGATCATGTTACCCACCTTCTTCAGAACCACAAATTCATTCTCAGCTGTTGCTCTCAGAGAAACTTCCTCCTCGTACCTGAGGCAGAAGAGGGCAGAGAGAAGGTCACAGAAGGGCAGGTCTGCTCAGACCCCCTCCACTTCATACCAATGAAGGGGGCAATATTAGGAACCTCCCATCACAGCTGGCCCCCTAGCATCCTTGTTGGGTCCTTTTGGTTGGATTTGGGCTCTCTCTGTGATGCTCTCTCCATTTTGAATTGAGGGGTTCAGGGAACTCATCTTCTGGGACCTCATAGCCGCATGTCCCAAGGTTGCTCTGGAGTGACCTCAGGAGGCAAATAAGGCCTCAGCACCCAGCTAAGAGTGGACAGTATGTCCTTGGGGCACTGCAGCCCCAGCCTCCCCTCACCGTAGCTCAGGTGTGGTTGGAGGTCTACGAGTCCCTGAGGCCATCGGCTCTCAACACCCTAGGCAGCAGGACACCCAGAACTCCACAACATGTCAACCCTGAGCCACACTTGGACTCAAATCACATCCATGTGCTACAAGAGGGAGGCCGAGAGGTCAGGAGGAGAAGGCCTGGGAAATGGGAGAGGTCTTCCTCCCCACAGAGCACAGGGGACAGCTGCTGGGTGATTAGGCTCCGAGAAGACAAGGCTGAAGTAAGGGAGAGGCATCTCCTGGGGTCCTGGGGGAATCACGGCCCTACTCCTAGGCAGGCATCTGGGCAGCAATTGCACAGGTGAAAGATCCTGCTACATACTGCCAACCTGGCCGCTCACCCTACCTGGAAATTCTTCTCATGTCTAATCCAAATTGGCCTTAACCTAATCATTTCCTGTGTCCAACATCACTGCCAGCCACACTCACTTCTTCTTGTAGCCCTCCATCACCTCCTGCACGTGGTTGAGCTCTGAGGCCAGCCTCCCGCTGTCGGCCTCCGCACACTCGGCCTCCCGCCTCAGCGTCTCGATGTAGCCCTCAAACAGCGGCTCCAGGTTGCTCTCGCA